GCAGCAGCAGCAGCAGCAGCAGCAGCAGCAACAGCAGCCATGCGTATCGGCGGCTGCTGCGGCTGCATGCAGCAGCAAGCCAATTCTTTATCTCCATCTCCCAACTTAAACATTGTCCATTTCCTTGCTAGCAGCAAGAAAGCCGTTTTTGCCCTACGCGCAGCAACGCCGAGAAGAGCAGCAGCAGCAGCGGCAGCAGCAGCAGCGACGAGGCAGCAAGGCGTCTTCCTCCAGGTGAGCCCAAAAACGCTCTTTTAGGCCACTCCTCTGACCTCCAGAAGCAGCGCATGCTGCTGCTACTGCCTCAGTTGCTGCTGCTGCTGGAGTTTCCGCAGCATGACGAATCAGCGCAGTTCTGCAGCGTGAGGACACCAGCAGCAGCAGCAGCAGCAGCAGACCCAGGCAGCGCGTAGCCTAGGTGTTGCGGCCCGACGTGTGTTTTGCAGCAGAGTTGCGTGCGTTACCTCTGCAGCAGCAACCGCAGCAGCAGCAGCAGCAGCAGCAGCAGCAGGATGTTTGCCTTTCGGTCCTCAGAGGGGGAACTCACACCCGCAGATGTGGAGCAGCAGCTGCTGCAGCGGCTGCAGCAGCGGCTGCGGCTGTTTGTAGTTATGGTAGCTGTGCTGCGGATGGCCCCTGTCTTCTTGGGGCCTGCTGTCGAGAACCCAGGCAGCAGCTGAGCAGCAGCAGCAGCAGCTGCAGCAGCAGCAGCAGCAGCTGCAGCAGCAGCTGCAGCAGCAGCAGCAGCTGCAGCAGCAGCTGCAGCAGCAGCTGTAGCAGCAGCTGCAGCGCCCAAGCAGCAGCTGAACAGCAGCTGTGAGCAGCAGCAGCAACAGCTCGGCGAAAGCAGCAACAGCTCAGCGAAAGCAGCAGCGCCGGTACGGGCGGGAGCAGCAGCAGCAGTAGCAGCAGCAGCAGCAGCAGCTTGTCACTGCTGCTGCGGATGAGGCCTGAAGCTGTGTGGCGGGTTATCGCACGTAGCAGCACCAAAACCAATAACAGCAGAAGCAGCAACAATGGTAGCAGCATCAGCAGGAGTGGTGGCTGCAGCAGCGTGAGCATCTGCAGCAGCTGCAGCAGGTGCTGCAGCAGGAACACTCCCTCTTAGTCGCAGTGGTGCTGCAGCAGCAGCTGCTGCTGCTTCTGAATGGCGGCGCAGCAGCTGCGGGCGCGAGCAGTAGGCAGCAATAGCAGCTGCTGCTGCCACTGCTGCTGCTGCTGCTGCAACTGCAGCAGGCGCTGAGTGAGGCAGCAGCAGAGGCCCCGGCGGCAGCAGATGCGACAGTTGTGGCTTCTAGAAGAGCCTTAGGGAGACTTATAGCTGTGCGCTGCTGCTGCTGCTGCTGCTGCTGCTGCAGCAAGTTGCTGCAGCACCTGCAGGGAGTTGCTGCAGCAGCAGCAGCTTCTCGCGCTGCTTTAAGGGGACAGTTCGCGCACGTAATATCAGCTTTTGTTTGGCTTGCTTTGTCTCCTGCTGTCTGCTGCTGCTGCTGCACCTTCGCTAGCCGCTGCTGCTGCTGCTGCTGCTGCTGCTGCAGAGAAGAGCCACCCGCAGCCAGCCCAAAGACAGCGACAGGAAGGCCCCCGCACCTAAATTTAAAGCAAATGTGTAATTCACGTGCATTTATATTTATTTATATTTATATTTGTTTATAATCATTTTATTTAACATTTATGCACATTTGTACTACATTTATGTTTCTAGCAGCAGCAGCAGCAGCAGCATGGCGAGGCCAGATCCGCGCACATGATCTCTTCAAGCCCTAGGCTTACTCATCCAAACCCCAAACCCTAAACCCTAAACCCTCAAACCCTAAACCCTCGCTACGTCTTCCCTGGCCTATAATATACGGGGGCGCTACGCGGTGGCGGCGTCGCTGCCGCTGCTGCTGCTGCTGCTGGAGTCCAACGGTAGCAGCAGCAGCAGCAGCAGGAACAGCACTGGCAGCAGCAGCTAGAGAAACGAAGCCAGCAGCAGCTGGGGCAGCGACACAAGCAGCAGGAAGACAAGGATACCGGCGGAGGCAGCAGCAGTAGCAGCAACAGCAGCAGCAAGGAGGGCACTAGCAGCAACAGCAGCAGTAACAATGTAATAGCAGCAGAAACAGCGGCATCACCAGTAGCAGCAGCTGCAGCGGCACCAGACTAGCAGCAATAGCAGCCATAAGAGCCGAAGCAGCAGCAACACTAGCAGCAGCAGCTGCTGCTGCTGCTGTCGCTAGGTTTTGGTTGTCTTTTTTCTTCAGTTACCTTTATTATCTCAGTTATTTGATTAAATAATTAAAAATAAAGCAAATCCATCTTCTTCGCTGCTTTTAATGCAGATGTGGGGAAGCACTGGTGACGCGTAAGCAGCAGCAGCAGCTGCTCCTGCTGCTGCAGGAAGACCAGCAGCAGCAGCAGAGCAAAACGCTGCAGCAGCAAGCTTAACAGCAGCAGGAGCAGCAACAGGGCTACTGTCTACTAGGAATCACGCATAAACACAAAAATATAACAGAGAATGTGAGACACTGCTACTGGTGCTGCTGCTGCTGCTGCTGCTCGTGCTGCAGTGTTCGTGGCTCGTTGAGCGGGCTGGTGGTGCTGCTGCTGCTGCAGCCGCAGCAGCAGCAGCAGCGGCACACAAACAAAACTTTGTCACTTGGAGAACTCGTCTTTAAGCAGATTTAAAGCGGGGTTTTTTGGCCCTCAAGAGTCACACCCTAGCGAGACTGGCGGCAACTGCTGCCGCTGCTGCTGCTGCTGCTGCTGCTGCTCTGCTGCTGCTGCTCCGGCTCTCGCAGGAGCAGACCACTCTGTGAAGAGACTAGACCCTTCGCTGCGTGTGAAGCTTCCTTTGTGGGGTGTACGTACACTGCAAGCAGCATTGCCTTATCCTTTTTTGCCAGCTGTTGCTTCTTGCAGCAGCAGCAGCAGCATCAGCAGCTGCAGCGCGAAGAGAGCAGCAGCAGGGGCAACAGCTGCGGCAGTAGCAAGCCGCAGCAGCAACTGCAGCAGACCCTGCAGCAGCGCATGTCAGTCGACTTTTGCAAGACAGCAGCCCGCTGCAACGGCCCCGAGGAGCAGCACCAGCAGCACAGCAGCAGGAGCTGCAGCAGAAGCAGCAGCAGCAGCAGCAGAAGCAGCAGCAGCAGTAGCAACCAACAAGGCATGCGAAGATGCCTTCCATAAGAGATGAGATTTCCTTCGGTGTGTTACGCGGCAGGCCCCGGTCTAGGGCCTAGGGTTTAGGGTTTAGGGTTTAGGGTTTGCTGCCTCGAACACCACATGCATTTTCCCTCCCCTATCGCCCCTCTCAACTTGTCCTCTACGAACTAGGGTCTGAAGCGCCGATCCCCGGCCCCAGACCCAGGGGTTTAGGGTTTAAGGTTTAGGGTTTAGGGTTTAGGGTTTAGGGTTTAGGGTTTAGGGTTTGTGTGCAGAGAAGCGCACTGCGGAGGCGCACCGCATTCGGGCGAAGTACCCAAATCGAATTCCAGTCATTTGCGAGAAGGCCCCTCGCTCGGACCTGCCGGTCATTGAAAAGAAAAAGTTAGCTGCTGCTGCTGCTGCTGCTGCTGCTGCTGCTGCTGCTGCTGCTGCTGCTGCTGCTGCTGGTGCAGCGTGTCCTGTTGTTCCTGGCGCTGCTTGTCCGCGTGGTGGTGGTGGTGGTGGTGGTGGTGCTGCTGCTGCTGCTGCTGGGCCGCTGCAGCGTGTGCTTCTCGAGTAACCTCCCCCACCTCACCTGCTGCTGCTGCTGCCCCGCCAACCCCCGCCGCTGCTGCTTCCACCGCTGCTGCTGCTGCTGCTGCTGCTGCTGCTGCTGCACGCGCTCCCACCGCTGCTGCATCCTCCTCCCCACCCGGCGGGCGCTGGTGCTGCTGCTGCACCCGCTCAACCGCTGCTGCGCCCTCCTCCTCACGCTGCCCCCCCCGCTGCTGCTGCTGCACCCGCCGCTGCTGCTGCTGCTGCTGCTGCTGCTGCAGGTTCTTGGTGCCGATGAACATGCTGGTGGGGGAGTTCAAGTACATAATCCACAAACACATCAACCAGTGCGCCTCCGCACAGGGGGCCCCCTTGACTCACGAGAAAACAATTTATTTATTTGTGGAGAACACGGCGCCGAAGGCGGGGGCGCTGATTCAGGAGGTGTACGAACAGCACGTGGCCGACGACGGCTTTCTCTACGTCGAGTACTCCGCAGAAAATACTCTCGGATAATTCCATTTCTTCTCCGTTTTTCTCCGTTTTCGGCCCTGCTTGTTCGCTGCATCGCGGGGAGAAGGGGAAGCTGCGGGGCGCAGCGCGCGCATGCGCCTTTCTGCTGCTGCTGCTGCTGCTGCTGCTGCTGCTGCGCCGGCGGCGGCGGCAGGGCCGCGCGTGCGCTGCAGCGGCGGCGGCAAAGGCGGCGGCCGGCGCGCGCGAGCGCTCGGGTGCGGCCCGGGGCACGAGGCGCGCGGGAAGCAGCAGCAGCAGTGCAGCAATTCCTCCTGCTGCTGCTGCTGCTGCAGCAGCAGCAGCAGGTTCGCGGCACGCACGGGGTGCGTGCTGCTTCTTTTTAAGTTTGGATACGGACGGGCGCGCAGTGTACGTACAGCGCGCGACCAGACAGAAAGGCCTCATGGGTCTGCCTTTATGAAGGGACTGCTGCTGCTGCTGCTGCTGCTGCAGCAATCACAGCAGCAGCTGCAGCGGCAGATACTTATTCACCGATTGTTTTGTTTTGCTTGAGGGGCGGCGTGGTTGCTTCAAAGTCTGTGGCTGCGGGGCTTACTGGGAAGCAGCAGCTGCTGCTGCTGCTTCTGCTGCCTTCCCATAAGCGCTACAGCAGCAGCAGCAGCAGCTACTGCTGCTGCTACGTCACCTTGGCAGTGATTTGGTGGGACGCAAGGCAGTGTTGCTTCTCTCGCATGTTTATTCTTCTCTGCGCTGCAGAAGCAGCAACAGCAGCAGCAGCAGCAACAGCAGCAGCTGCTAGAGTCCGCTCATATATCTCGTATGTGTGTCAGCAGCAGCAGCAGCAGCAGATGCTGCTGCAGCAAGGGTTTGGTATTCAGACAGACAAAAGTTGAGGTCTATGTACACCGCAGAGAACAGGCGCAAGCCAAATTAATTAAATAATTCGGGATGTAAAAATAAAAATAATAGATGATTGAAAGTTTAAAATGATAATAATCAAAATAGAAAGTAATGCAGAGAAAGTACAAAATGCAGGGTCTAGACTGAGGCTGCCAGCAGCAGCAGCAGCAGCAGCAGCAAGAGCAGCAGCAGCGCAGATTACCGGGTTCAGCTGCAGCAGCGTAACGGTAGACTTTATTCGATGAATTAGATTGCAAATGCGTGCAAATGATATTTAAATAAATGCATTTCTTTTTAATTTTATAGATTTGATTTTTTAAATAATCAAGAACAGCAGCAGCAGCAAGTCGCATTTCGCAAAAATCCATTTGCTGCTGCGCTGCATGCGGCATTCGCCGCGGACACAAAGCTGAGGGGGTTTAGGTAGAATGAGTTTTACTGCTGCTGCAACAAATTGAATTTTGCTGCTGCTGCAGCAAAACGCCATTGTCAGCAGAGCTCTTACTACTGCTGCTTCTGCTGCAGCACCAGCTGCTGCTGCTTCTGCTGCAGCAGAAATAGCTCTTCTGCTGCAGCAGAAATAGCTCTTCTACGGCTGGGTGCATGCGGCTTTGCTGCTGCTGCAGCGAAATTCCATGCTGCTTCGGCTGCTGCTGCTGCGTTCGCCTCAGGTGTCTCATAATACTGTTATTGCTGCTGCTGCTGCTGCTCCTGGTCCTGCTGCGGAGCCAGCTACCAGGGGCGCTCAGCTGCTTTTGCTTGCTTGCCAATTCTTTTTGTTTATTTTATTCTGTTTTATTTTATTTTATTTTATTTTATTTTATTTTATTTTATTTTATTTTATTTTATTTTATTAATTCATTAACAAATTTAATTTGAAGTGCTTTCATTACAGCTGTCAGCCAACGAGCCGCTGCTGCTGGCAGCAGCAGGCGTGTTCCCCGCTGCTTGCTTTGAGTCTTCACTTTGCTGCAGCTGCTGTTGCTGCTGTTGCTGCTGCTGGTTTTGTTGTTGTTGCTGCTGCTGCTGCTGCTGTTTTTGCTGCGGTTTCTGCTGCTGCTGCTGCTGCTGTTTTGGCGTTTGCTGCGGCAGCTGTTTCTTCTCGGTCGAAGCCTTCTGGAGTTTCCCTCTGTCTGCTGCTGCTGCTGCTGCTGCTGCGCGCCTATCCGTTTTCGCAGTTGCTGCAGCAGCAGCAGCAGCTGCAGCAGGGGATTTAATCTTCGACACTGCAGCAAAGAGCGTGCCCTTTCTCCGCAGCAGCGCGCACCTTCTTGCTGCTACTTCTGCTCTTCTCTTTTCTGCTGCTTCTAGCTGCTGCAGCAGCAAAGGGTCTAAAGGCTTAATGCCGCAGCAGCCGGGGGCCCAGCTGTCTTGACACCCATGCACAGGCATAGGGGGTACATCCCAGGGGGCCCCCCCAGGGGCCCCCCCAGGGGCCCGCCCCGGGGCCTCCCCAGGGGCCCCCACGGGGGCCCCCGTAGGGCCATTCATGGGGGCCCCCACAGGGGCCCCCACAGCGCCATTCGTGGGGGCCCCCCCAGCGGCCTCCGCAGGGGCCCCCACAGAGGGCCCCACAGGGGCCCCCACGTTTGGCTCGCTGGGGGGCCCCCTAGGGGCCCCTTGAGGGTTTTCCATGAGGGCCCCCGAAAGAAGCCCGCTGGGGGGCCCTCCAGGGGGGCCCCCAGCCTCCTCTATGGAGGCGCCAACGGGGGCCCCTTGTTGGTCGGTGTGGGGTTCTGTGGGGGCCCCTGTGGGATACCCTGTGGGGGCCCCCAGGGGGGCCCCAGGGACCCCCAGGGGGCCCCCAGGGGCCCCCAATGGGGGCCCCTGGGGCCTGCTGATTAGGTCTGTTGGCTCCCCTGGGTCTATAGTGATGTGGGAGAGTCTGAGGATATTAAGTATTGAATGAGTTGCTGCTGCAGCAGCAAATGCGAAGCAGTTTCTGTCTGCTGCTCTTTTCTGCAGCAGCGCAGCACCAGCAGCAACAATGGCATCAATTGCTGCTGCTGCTGCTGCTTCTGCAGGTGTCTGCTCATCTTCAGGGCCCTCGTGCCGCCGCCCCTTGGGGGACACCCCGGAGGGGCCCCCTCGGGGGCCCCTCGCCTTTGTTGTTGCTGCTGCTGCTGTTGGAGCAGCAGCAGCAGGCTTCACAGAGACGGTTGGGGACATACAGAGTAGGGTTTAGGGTTTAGGGTTTAGGGTTTAGGGTTTGGCGACGTTGGCAAGCAAACCATGTTATGCTAAGCCGGAGAGCCCGCCCGTGTATACGCAACTGCTGCTGCGACTGCTGCTACTGCTGCTGCTGCTGCTGATACTGCTAACGCAGCAGCTGCTGCTGCTAGTGCTGCTGCTGCTGCAGCAGCTGCGTGACTCAGCAGCTGGCTGCAAGGTGTCTCTATTCGTGTCTAGGGGAAAATAAAATTAAGATAAATTAATAATTTAATCAAACTAAAATGAAAGAAGAGGAAAAGCCCTGAAAGAAGATTTCAGGGGCCCCCTTTGTAACTAGCCGCAGGGTCACTTGTGTGCAGCTGGGGCCCCCAAAGCCTACAGAGCAATCAGTTGAGGAATAAACCACCCAAATTAAATAAATAATAAAATAAAATACAAATTAAATCAAAAAGAAAAAGAAAAATTAAATATTATGTCGCTTTTGTGTTCCCAACTTTAAAAGAGTAGACATAGAGGGGGCCTCGTGTGGAGTGTCTAGACAGCTTGCTTGTCAGTTTTTCTTCTTCTTCCGTTTAGCCAATTTATTTGAAATAATTTAATTCTTCAATTAAAATATAAATATTTATTTTGTTTTTCTTATTTTTTATTCATTTAAATGCATTTCAGCGCCTCTGACTGAGCGGGGAGGCGCGTGTGCATCTCCGTGCAGAAGAAGTTCGGTTTGCAGCACTTTTAAAACTTATTAGTCTTTTCCTTTTCCAAAATGTATTTATTTTTATAAATAGACATTTATAATTCACTCAAGATGCAAGTTTATTCCATTTTAATCCACCTTTTCACCCAAATGCATTTGGTTCCCCCATAAAAACGGAGTGTATGGACACCCCGTTAACTGCCCTAGTAAGAACTGCAGCAAGTTTAAAAGTGCATGCAACTACATGCCATCATTATGTTTTCTTCGATCTCTTAGAATAAGTATGCATCTTTTTCGCCGCTATTAACACACTTATCTACCTATCTATGTATACATTTATATGCTTCATGTACATAATATACATGCAAACATATATACATAAATATATTATGTATATATATATACATATGCATATATATAGACGTATATATGTATATATACATATATACGTCTCTATATATATACATATACATATATATATGTATAGAGATATTTACATATATAGATATAAATATATCCATCTATATATAAACACTCGACAGACTTAATTAATACCCATAGATGTTCTGCGCAGTTCCACAAAAATGAGAATATAACGGACATTTCGGATTTTTGAAGAAATAAATAAAAAACAAATAAATTAAAAGCACTTAAGGGACTGTAGAGCCACTTCAAAGCCAGGGAGAGGGGCTGAAGACCTTTAAAAAGGTTTAAATGCATTTTAGAGTTTTGGAAAATTTGCAAAACAAAGAAATTCCATTTCCGCTAGCCGCATGCACCGGGTGTACATACACCTGGCGGCCGCGCCGCCTTTTTTTCGTTTCTTTTCCATTTCTGCATTTTTATTCAAAATAATAATTATTTTTTTTGTATTTATATTTTAATTCGTTTCTAATGTATTTGCATTTATTTGCATGCAAGATGAGGCCCCAAGGCTACGGCGTCTGGTGGGAGTATTAGGAACTGATAAATAAATAAATAATAGAAATAACAACTGAATATTTTTAGAGATAAACAAATAAGCAAATAAACAAATAAATTAACAAATAAATAAATAAATAAATTAGCAAATAAATAAATAAATAAATAAATAAATAAATAAATAAATAAATAATTACTTAACAATACTGAAAAAGCACCGCTTCTAAATGGAACAAAGCTATCAACGATAATCAAAAGAAAGTGGCGTCTCTCTGATATTTTTTTCTTTTATTTGATTACTTTCATTTATTTATTTTTTTGAATTTATTTTTATCTGTTTATCTTAGTCAATTCGTTTCTAAAGAGCTGTACCTCTTGTTTGAAAGGAATAAAAAGAAAATAAAGTTTTTCTTTTTAAAAGAAATGAAGAAGACAAAGTTGGTCTGGTCTCTAATGAAGAAAGCGTTTTTGCAAATAAAGAACTGTAAAATGCTTCTGGAGAAATGAAGAAAAGAAATAAAGAGAAGAAATAAATGAGAAAAGATGAAAAGAAACAAAGAGAAATAAATGAGAAATAAAATTAAGAAAAATAAATCAAAGAAAGAAAGAAAGAAAGCAAAAGAAATAAAAGAAGCAAAATAGAAATAAAAGATCTCCTCAATGCCACCAAATAGCCACTGCAAATTCGACATTGGATATCTTTTCATTTATTTATCTATTTACAGTTATTCAATTATATTTATTTAACTATATTTATTTATATCTATTTATTATTTATTTATTTACTTATTTGTCGAATTCGTCCAACGCAAACCTTCTGCACTTCCGACGAACTAGCGCCCACCAGTCCTCCAAAACCACCAAACAAACAAACAAATAAACAAATTAATTAATTTAATTATTTAATTATTTATTTATTTATTTATTTATTTGTTTGTTTGTTTATTTAGTAGAAGTGCATGGGCTTCTGGGGTACTGAGTCTTTGTTGCCGCCCTTCACTTTGCTGGCCGGATGGCTCAGCAGCTCGAGGGGCACTTGGCAGTTGGCGCTTTTCATGGTTTTGACCAAATCGAAAAAAAGTCCCGAGTCTTCTTCCGTCAAAAAAGAGATCGAAACTCCCTTTTTCCCCGCCCGCCCCGTCCGCCCTGCAGCAGCAGCAGCAGCAGCAGCAGCAGCAAAGGGTGCGAGAAGTTGCAGCGAAAAAGACGCCAGAGTGCTGCTGCGGCGACGGAACACGCAGCAGCAGCTGCAGCAGCACGCTGCTGCAGCACCGGCAGACGCTGCAGCAGCAGCAGCTAACTGCTGCTCATGCAGCAGAAACCTTAGCAGCAGCAGCAAGCTGCTGCAGCAGCAGCACAAGCTGCAGCAGCAGCAGCAAACAATTAAAATTAACTTTTAATTATTTTTACGAATTAAATTTTGAAACTCCAGTTTCAGACTTCTTCAGTGTACATACAGCTCAGCTTTCGCGGGCTTCCTTCCGAACTTCTCCATTTCTTCTTTTTTGAAGTGGATTTAAATCCTCTTTTAAATCTTTTTAAACATATTTAAAATAAATGGGTTAATAAATGCAATTTGCTGGTATTTAAATTCTTTTTTATGCTTTTAAATATATTTAAAATAAACGAATTATGAAATGCAACACATCCCGGCACTGGGTGTCGATACACCGCAGCTTTCTTGACTCATTGAATCATTTTTTCGTTTTTGGACAATTTTGGTCTGTTTGAACTGGAATTTGCGTCACTTTTGAATTGAACAAAGATTTATATGCATTAAAATGGTTTTTAATTTCAAATTCGCACCAATGCGGTGTAAGTACTGCTCAATTTCCTTCGGCATGTCGAAATTCACCACCAGAGTTACACCCTGCACGTCTATGCCGCGGCCCGCCACGTCCGTCGCCACCAACACGTCGAAAGAACCTTCCTGAAATAAGTAAATAAATAAATAAATAATAAATAAATAAATAAATAAACAAAATAATAAATAAATAAATAAATTAATTAATTAATTAATTTATGATATCAATTATATTAATTGTAATTGGATTAAGTTTATTAAATTGAATCAATTTAATTAAAAACTGATCTGAATTAAAGAAATAAAGACAAAATGAAAACAACTCAAACCGAATCAAAGCCGACGAGAACAAACTAAATCAAACTAAACCAATTTGAATAAAATGAAATGAACAACCAAATAAAACACAACTAATTAAATCAAATTAAATTAAATTAAGCTGAACTGAATTAATTGCATTCAATCAAATTAAATCAGCTAAATTACTTAAATTAAATTAAACAAAGTAAACTAAGTAAAATAAAACAAAATATAATTAATTAATTTAATTAAGTTAATTAAATTAATTAAATTAAATTAAATTAAATTAAAACTCAAACCTTAAATTGCGTCAGCGCCGCCTCGCGATTTTCCTGGGCCTTTCCTCCGTGAAGAGCAATTGTACTTCACACACAAATAAACTAAAATAAAATAAAAAATAAAGAAATAAATAAATAAACAAATAAATAAATAAATAAATAAACGAATAGTAACTTATTTCAAAAATAACGAAATAAATAACTAAATAAATAAATAAATAACTGAAATACTAAATGAAAAAATAGAAAAGTAAGGGGAAAACTGAACAAGAAAATGAATAATAAATAAGTTACTGAATAGATAATCAATTAAATAAATAAACAAAGAAATAAACAAATAAATAACTTATTAAATACATAAATAAATAAATTATTGTACAAATAAATAAAATAAATGTAAATAAAAAAATAACCAGACAATAATGGTAAATAATATAATATTAAACAACAAATAAATAATTAATTATGAATTAAAAGGAAATATGTCGGTTAGAAAACGGAGAGAAATAATCTGTGTAGACAAAGAGTTTAAAAAGGAAACAAAAGAGAAAGAATAAATTTAAAAGAAAAAAATAATATTTAAAAACAAATAAATTAAAAGGGGTTAAATAATTAAAGGGAGAAAAGGATTTATAAAAGAAAAACAAATTAAAAAACAACTAATTTGAATAAAACACCAATATATAAAATGAAGTTCAAACAAAATAATTAAATTCAAAAGAGACAATTAAACAGAGAGAGATAATTAAATTTAAGTAAAATCAATTAAAAGGTGAAAAGAGATAAAAAGGAAATTAACAAGAAATAAAAAATAAAAAAGAAGAAATAAAAAGAAACAAAAAAGAACCAAAGACAGAAAAAAATAAGAAGCAAAAAAAAGAGGAAAATGAATTGAAAAGAAAAGATAGAAAGCCAAAAGAAACGTTTTAAAAGTTTTTAAATTTAAATAAAAATAAAAAAGAAGACGCATGCAGCGCTGCGGTGTATGTACACCTGAAGCCCAACTTCGAAAGGGCTTTGGCGAGAGCGTCAGCAGATTTCTTTTGGTTTACGAAAACCATTACTGGGGGCTCGCTTTCTTCTAATATTTCCTGAATAAATAAATAAATAAATAAATAAATAAATAAATAAATAAATAAATAAATAAATAAATGATAAATGGTTTTTCTTTGTCCACATTTTGATCCATTATGCAAGGCCAGGGATGGACCCTAAACCCTAAACCCTAAACCCTAAACCCTCGGTTTCGGCGCCAAACCCTTTCCCGCGATTTTTTCAAACCCTAAACCCTAAACTGGTTCTAGGGTTTAGGGTTCAGGCCTCCACCCCAAGTCCTAAACCCTACCCCTTGACTCCCTCCAAACCCCAAACCCTAAACCCTAAACCCTGAACCCCAAGCCCTAAACCGTAAACCCTAACCCCTAAACCCGAAACGCTAAACCCTAAAACCTACCCCCTAAACCCCGAACCCTAAACCCTAAACCCCAAACCCTAAACCCTAAACCCTAAACCCCAAACCCTAAACCCCAAACCCTAAACCCTAAACCCTACCTGGAGTCTTTGTTTCTTTCTGGCCTCGGACACAAACTCAACTCTTTGCTCAATGGCCCGTTTGCCAGCCCCTGGGTCTCCAATGGAAATGTAAGAAGGAGCCCGCAGGTACTTGCTGCAGCAGCAGCAGCAGCAGCAGCAGAATCAATTGCAGCAGCAGCAGCAAGAGCAGGTGCAGCAGCAACAGTAGCAGTAACAACGACAGCAGCAACAGCAGCAGCAGCAACAGCAGCACGAGCAGCAACAAATGAAGCAGCAGCAGCAGCAGCTGAACAGAATAACATATAATAGTAATAAAAGTAAAAAACAAAATACATGATAGTTATAAAAGGACTTAAAAAGTAAAAACAGAAATAAAAAGAAATGGAGCTGCTGCAGATTCAGCAAAAACGAAGTAAACAAAAAGCAAAATAAAATGGATAAAGAAATGAACAGAAATAAACAAACAAACAAATAAACAAAATAAAACAAATATATAAAATAAAGAAACAAAAGAAGAAAAATCAACTTAATAAAATAAATAAATTATAAAACAAATAAAAAGTGAAAGAAGAAAACCGACAAAAGTCCAAAAGAGTCATTTCGTGGCCTCCGGGCTTCAAAAAAAGCGGAAGAAAAGGAAAATAAAAGGAGAACAAAAAGGAGACAAAACTTGGTTGAAAAGAGTTCAAAAAAGAACCGAAAAAGAACCAAAAAAGAAAAAAAGAAAAAAAGAAAAAACTCACCGAGCCAAACGCTCCAGTGCAGGGGGCATTGTGGCGCTGAACATTTGCGTCAGCCGATACAGCCGGTGGCCCGCCTTGGCCTGCAACTCCTGATATTGAAAAATAAATAAATAAATAAATAAATAAATAAATAAATAAATAAATAATAAACTAATTAATTAATTAAATAATTAATTAATTGGTTTGTTTATTAATTAGTTTTTAAAATTGATTGGTTCGCGGCTTTGGTGGGGTGGGTGCTTGGCTCGGTTTGGGGGCGGGGGGATTTGTAATAAATAAATAATAAATAAATAAATAAATAAATAAATAAATAAATAAATAAATAAATAAATAAATAATAAATAAATAAATAAATAAATAAAAAGTTTTAATTGAAAGAATGGAGGGAAGGAACGTAGAAAGGGCTCAGGGGGTTGGTGGTCGTGAAGCGTTTAGAGCTGGAGAGCCTAAACCCTAAACCCTAAACCCTAAATCCTAAACCCTCACACGTCAAGCCCTCACATGTTAAACCCTAAACCCTTAAGCCTTATAAACCCTCAAGCCTTAAAGCCTAAACCCTTAAACTGTTGAACCTCAAACCCTAAACCCTCAAACCTTAAACCCTGAACCCCCAGATCTTAAACCCTAAACCCTAAACCCTAAACCCTAAACCCTTAAACCCTCCAAAACCTAAACCCTAGAGACTGGCCTGCTGCAGCGCGAGGGCTTCGTCTTCGCTTTTTAAATTTGAAGTTGGAATTGCATCGAGAATGGCATTTACAACTTCTTCAAATCCCAAGTCAATCATTCGATCTGTTTAAAAGAAATAAAATAAAATTAAATTAAATTAAATCAAATTAAAAATAAAACTGAAAGTTTAAAAAGAAATTAAAGTTAAAATCTAATTGAAACTAAAAAGATCGGAAGTTTAAAAAGAAATTTCAATCAAAATAAAGAGATTGAAAGTTTAAAATTGTATTAAAACTAAGACGGAAGGAAATTTAGAAGCCAAAAATTAAAAAAGAATTTCAATAAAAGGAAAAGATTAAAAAATAAAAGGAAAAGATTGAAAGAATTTTAAAAATAAAAAAGAAAAGACTAAAAAGAAAAGACTAAAGATAATATGTACTAAGAGAAGCTAAGTAAAAAGAAAATATTAAAAAGTAAAGCATAAAATAAATCAAAAAACAAAGAAAATGAAATTCAAAAAAAAACAAATAAAAGCGAAACGAAAGACAGACAACACAAGGTTTAAAAGATATTTTAAAATGACATTTTAAAAATATTCAAAAATATATTTAAAAGAGAGTCAAAAACATATTTAAGTATATATTTAAAAGATATTTTCAAAAGATTTAAAAGATCTTAAAAAGGAACATTAAAAAAAGCATTAAAAGAACATTAAACGGACATTAAACAAAGCATTGAGATTTAAAAGAGTTTCAAAAAAGCATTAAATGAGATTTAAATGAGTTTAAAAGAGCATTAAAAAAAGCCAAAAGGGCTTTAAAAAAGCATTAAAAAAGCTTCAAAACATCTTTAAAAGGAAATTTAAAAAGTCTCAAAACATCTCTGAAGGAGGACAAAAAGAACTTCAAAAAGATTTTTAAAAACGCATTAGAAGGAGCATTAAAAGGAGCATTAAAAGAGCTTCAAAAGGTCCATGGAAGAGCATTAAGAAGAGCATTTAATGAACTTCAAAAGACCCTCAAAAGGCATTTAAAACAGAATTAAAAGAGCACCAAAAGCTCTCTAAAAGTGCAATAAAAAAGCATCAAAAGAGCTTCAAAAGACCTGCAAAGGCGCAATAAAAAGGCAATCAAAACAATTTCAAAAGACCTTTAAAAGAGCATGCCAAGGGCTCCGAAAGATCTTTAAAATCGCATTCAAAAGCGCATGCAAAGAGCTTGAAAAGGCCTTTAAAGGCCCATTAAAAAGCGCATGCAGAGAGCTCGAAAAGACCTTTAAAAGCCCATTAAAAGGCGCATGCAAAGAGCTCGAAAAGGATGCAAAAAGAGGGAAAAAAGAAGCAAAAAAGAGCGCAAAAAAGATGCAAAAAGTCAAAAAAAAGAAAAATAGTTTCCATTCACCAGCCTCGTCGAGGACGACGTAGTTGCACTGGTTCAAAACCGTAAAGGCTCTGTCTAGACAGTCGCGGATCCGCCCCGGAGTGCCGATCACAATTTCGACTCTGAAAGAAGTCCAAATAAATAAATAAATAAATAATGAATAAATAGTAAGTAAATAATAAATAAATAATTAGTTAATTATTTAATTATTTAATTAGATTTGAATCAAATGAGAGGGAAGGGGAGGTTGAGTGGAAGGGGGAGGATGGGGAGTGAGCTGGAAAAGAAAAGAAAAAGAAAAATGGAAATAAAGAGAAAAGAAATTAAAAAAAAATTAAAAAGAAATTGAAAAGAATTGAAAAGAAAATAAAAAGAATTAAAAATAATAAAGGAGTGCAAATTAATTAAGCAGTGGGAACGGGAAAAGAAAGAGAAAAATGAAGAATAAAAGAAAAGCAGCAGCAGCAGCAGCAGCAGCAGCAGCAGCAGCAAAACTGCAGCGCCATTCCTTGAGGCGGGGAGATCGCCGCACGAAGCAGCAGAAAATCCAATTGAATGGAATAAAACAATAAAACAATAAATGAATTAAATTAAACTAATTGAATTAAATTAATTAAATTAAGTTAAGTTAAATTAAATTAATTAAATTAATTAAATTAATTCAGTTACCCCTGCCGCAGCAAAAAGGCCTGGTTCTCCGCGCTGCGGCCGCCCACAACAGCAACAGAGCGGCAGCTGCAGAAGGAAGCAAACTTTTGGGTCTCTTCTTCGATTTGAAGAGCCAACTCCCTGCAAGCAGCAGCAGCAGCAGCAGCAGCAGCAGCAGCTCAGCAGCAGCAGCAGCAGCTCAGCGGCAGCAGCAGCAGCTCAGCAGCAGCGGCAGCAGCTCAACAGCAGCAGCCCAGCAGCAGCAGCAGGTGCTCAGCAGCAGCAGCTGGCGCTCAGCAGCAGCAGCAGCGGCTCAGCAGCAGCACTTCGGGAGCAGCAGCAGCGCGCGGAGCAGCACCAACAGCCATAAACGCCCAGCAACTGCAGCAGCAGCAGCAGCAGTAAGCTTAGATTATGGGAACATGAACGCATGCATGCGGCATATCCTGCACGTCCTCTCTCATGAGCGCTTGCTGCAGCAGCAACATCAGCAGCAGAAGCAGCAACATTAGCAGCAGCAGCAGCAGCAGCAGCAAACCTGGACGGAGCCAATATGAGGGCGTAGGGCCCATCCTGCGAAGTCTCTTCGGTGAGAGGCGGCAGCTGCTTCACATATGTCAGCAGCGGCAGGACAAATGCTGCTGTTTTGCCTGCAGCAGCAGCAGCAGCAGCAGCAGCGGAGCGTTCCGCGCAGCACAGCATATAGAGGTTGCTGCTGCTGCAAAAGCAACAACACTTGCTGCACCCACTGGCCCATCAATCACGGAAGCTGCAGCAGCAGCAGCAGCAGCAGCAGCATCAAATACATCGCCAGCAGCAGCAGCAGCAGGGCGTTCCGCGCAGCACAGCATATAGAGGTTGAGCAGCCACAGCAGCAGCATCAAACACGTCGCCAGCAGCAGCAGCAGCAGCAGCAGCAGCAGCAGCAGCAGCAGGAGCAGCAGGAGCAGCAGGAGCAGCAGCAACAGCAGCAGCAGCAGCAGCAGCAGCAGCAGTAGCAGCAGCAGCAGCAGCAGCAGCAGCAGCAGCAGCAGCAGCAGCAGCAGTAGCAGCAGCAGCAGCAGCAGCAGCGGACCAGATCCAGTTTCCGCAATGCCGATGAGGTCCCGCATTTCGAGGGCGATGGGAATGGCCTGCATTTGAATGGGCGTGGGTCTGTCGTAGTTGGCCTGGAAGCAGCAAAATCAAAAAAGTGTTTTTTTCAGCTTTTTCTGCAGCTTTTTCTCTCCTTTTTGCTGCTGCTGCTTCCTCTTTCTGCATTTGCCAAAAAGCCCTTCAAAAGTGCTTCAAAAAGATCCAAAAAGAATCCAAAAAGAATCCAAAAAGGCCTCAAAAACGAAGAAAGAAATCAAAATTCTTTTCTTTTTACCTGCTTCACCGCCTCTATCAACTCCCACGGCAACTCCGCCTCCGCCCAAGTCCGAATGGGCGGCGGAACTCGACCGCCCTAAAAATAAAAAAATAAGTAAATTAATTTAATTTAATTTAATTAATTTAAATAATTTATTTAATTTAATTAATTTAATTTAATTTATTTAATTTGATTTAATTTAATTGATTGGATTGAGTTAATTAATTTGTTCGTTTGCGTATTTGTTCAGAGTCGTGGGAAGGAAGATAAGTGGAGTTCAGCAGAAAACGAAAAAAACGAAAAAAGAAAATAAAAACAAAAAATTGAAAATGAAAGAAATTAAAAGAAATTAATGAAATAAAAATAAATAAAAACAAATAAATAGAAACAAAAGGAAATTAAAAGAAATTAAAAGAAATTAAAAGAAATAAAAGAAATAAAAGAATAAAAGAAGCAAAAAGAAAGAAAAAGAAAAAAAAGCTCGAAAGAAAATAAAAAAACGAAAATAAAACAAAAAGCCAAGAAAGACAAAAATGCAAAAAAGAAAAATCCAAAAGCCAAAAGAGGTCCAAGAAACGAAAAAGAATTTTTAAAAAGCAAAAAAAAGAAATTAAAAAGAATAAAACAACAAAAGCAACCAAAAGGAGTTATAAGAATCCAAAAGAATAAAAAAAATAAAAAGAAGTGAAACGAATTTAAAATAAAAGTGAAAAGGACTTTGAGATAAATTTCAAAGTCCTCTCTGAAGATCCTCCAGTCCCTGTCGGTCATTTCTTCTCTCTTCTTTGTTGACCAGTGGCCCTCCAACTCCGGCTCGTCCTGCGCACAAACACAATTTGCTGCTGCTGCTGCTGCTGCTGCTGCTGCTGCTGCTGCTGCTGATGCTGGTGGTGGTGGTGGTGGTGGTGCTGCTGCTGCTACTGATGGTGGTGCTGGTGGTGCTGCTGGTGGTGGTGGTGATGGTGGTGGTGGTGCTGCTGCTGCTGATGGCGCTGCTGCTGCTGCTGCTGATGGTGCTGCTGATGGTGCTGCTGATGGTGCTGCTGCTGAGGGTGCTGATGGTGCTGCTGCTGATTGTGGTGCTGGTGGTGGCTTTGCTGCTGCAGCTGATGGTGGCGGTTGTGCTGCTGCTGCTGCTAATGGTGGTGGTTAAGCTACTGCTGCTGCTGCTGCTGCTGGTGCTGGTGCTGATGGTGATGGTCATTCTGTTGCTGCTGCTGCTGATGCTGCTGCTAGTGATGCTGCTGGTGCTGCTGGTGTTGTTGCTGGCGCTGGTGCTGCTGCTGCTGCTGCTGCTGCTGCTCGTGATGCTAGTCGTGTTGCTGCTGATGTCGTTTCCGCTGCTGCTGCTGCTGTTACTGTGACTGCTGCTGCTGCAGCTCTTGGAAGCAGAGTCAGCCGCAATGGTGCTGGTTGTGTTCTTGCTGCTTCTGCTCCAGCTGCTGCATGTCCTGCTGCTGCTGCTGCCGTTGCTGCTGCTGCTGCCGTTGCTGCTGCTGCTGCCGATGTTTACCTCGAGGTCTTTAGTCTTCTTCTTGTCACTGGCTCGAGCTGCCTCTGCTGCTGCTGTTGCTGCTGCTGCTGCTGCTTCTTCTGCCCCACGTTGTCGCTGCTTCTGTTCGTATTCTTGGCGCCTGCAGCAGCAGCAGCAACAGCAGCAGCAACGCCAGCAGCAGCAGCAATTATCGACAATCAGAAGAAAGGAAAAACTGTGCACTGAGGGCTGCGGGCCAAAGAAAAGTCACTACAGCAACAGCAGCAGCAGCAGCAGTACCAAGTAGGAGTGCAGCAGCAGCAGCAAGTAGTGCATCAGCACAAGCAGCAGCAGCAAGTAGTGATGCAGCAGCAGCAGCAACAGCAGGAGCATTACCGTTTGACGAGTTCGTCGTAGAAGTTATTCGCTTTGCGCTGTTCACGAATGTCCATACCGGCCCTAAACCTGAAGTCAAAAACCTAAACCCTAAACCCTAAACCCTAAACCCTAAACCCTAATCCCTAAAATTCAAACCCTAGACCCTGAAGGCTTGCTGCGAAGAAAAGGGGATAAAAGCGAAAGGCGAGATAAATCCAGAGAATGCCGCAAACCCTACGCTCCAAACCCTAATTTCAAAACCCTAAACTCTAAACCCTAAACCCTAAACCCTAAACCCTAAACCCTACCCTCTGCCAAACAGCAGCTGCGGCTCCAGGCGGTTTTGGTAAAGAGGGTTGTTGTCGCCCCTCATGGTGTCTTCGCTGGCGTCCCATTCAAAGTTAAAGATGTTTCTGAAACCCGCAAACCCTAAACCCTAAACCCTAAACCCTAAACCCTAATCCCAAAACCCTAAACCCCTAAACCCTAAACCCTTAATTCCAGCCCCTGTGGATGAACCCAATGATGTGGCTCTACGTTAAGCCGTAAACGCTGAGTCCAAACCCTAGACCCTACCTCTAAACCCCAAACCCTAAACCCTAAACCCTAAACCCTAGACCCTAAGCCCTACCTGAATTTTTCAGAGGGTTTCTGAATTTTTTTCTTTTCTTTTTTCATCCCCAAATAATGCATGCGAATCTGCTCGAGCTCCTTTTCCTGCAGCAACAGAAATGAAACCCTAGAGCCTCTGAAACCCTAAACCCTAAACCCTAAACCCTAAACTCTAAAACTTATAAGCCCTTGCCAAACCCCTACAGGCCGCCTAGACACGAGGCCGACGCCTCAGTGCCTCTCCGCCAACCCCCAAACCCTAAACCCTAAACCCTAAAGCCCAAACCCTAAACCCTAAACCCTAAACCCTAAACCCTTGCCTGCTGCTTGGCGCGGAGCTCCTGCTCCGGCAAATTCAGCAGCTTGAGGTTTGCCAAAACGCTCGCGTCTTTGGGTTTTTGCTGCTGCTTCTCCTGCTCCCGCTGCTGCCGCATTTGCTCTTCACGCAGCTTTCCTGCAGCAGCAGCAGCAGCAGCAGCAACAGCAAAAACAGCAGGGGACCCAGCAGCGGCAATCTGGAGGCAGCAGCAGCTGCACCGAGGCAGCAGCAGCAGCAGCGGGAGTAAACCGAGTAGCTACAGCAGCAAAAGGCGAACCAACACCAGCGACGCCTTCAGCAGCAGCAGCAGCAGCAGCAGCAGCAGCAGCAGCAACAGCAGCAGCAACAGACTCTCTTGCTCTTCTTTGACCCTTTCCATATCTCTTCTCTTTTGTCTTTCCTTCCTTTCCCGTTCCCTCTCTATCTCCTGAAAGTGCAGCAGCAAATTGAAGCAGCAGCGGTGGCAGCAGCAGCGGCACAGCAGCAGCACCAGCAGTAACGGCCACCGCCGCAGCAGCAGCACAACACTAGCAGCAGCAGCAGCAGCAGCAGCAGCAGTGTTACCTCTCTCTGCAAAAAGAGCCGCCGCTTATTGATCATTTCTCTTTCTTTTTTTTTCGCTTGCTCCACTTCCTGCTGCAGCAGCTGCTGCTGCCTCGCTTCCCTTTGCTTCTTAGACACAAAAGCAATCTGACGGCAGCAGCAGCAGCAGCAGCAGCAATAGCCTCACGAGCAGCAGCAGCAAGAGCTTGACGAGCTGCAGCAGCTGCTGCTAAGCAGCTTAACCACGTATAGCCCTACAGCTGAATGCGTGCAACGGCAACAGCAACAGCAACTGCAGCAGCAGCAGCAGGAGCTGCTGCTGCAGCTATCTACCTAAATGCTTTGCTGCTGACCCTTTTTGGCTGCTCCGCCTCTTTTCTTTTTCTTTCTATTTCTTCTAAAGATTGAACTTCTTTTTGCTGCTGCTGCTGCTCCCCGAGCAGCAAAACGGCAGGCAGCTTCCCGGGTTTGCTGCTGCTGCTGCTGCTACCGCTGCTGCCGCTGCTGGCGTTGCTGCTGTTGCTGCTGCTGACATTGGCGCTGCTGCTGTTGCTACTGCTGCTGTTGGTACTCCTGTTGGCATTGCTGCTGCTACTGCTGCTGTCTGTGCTGTTGCTGCTCTTGCTGATGCTGCTGCTGTTGCTGTTGCCACTGCTGCTGCTGTTGCTGTTGTTTCTGCTGCTGCTCACGGCCCCCTTCGAGTTGGTCACGCTGCCCTTAACTCCGGGAGTGCTGCTGCTGCTGCTGCTGCTGCTGCTGCTGCTGGGGTTGCTGCTGCTGCTGCTACTGGGGCCTCCTGCTGAGGAACTGGGCCTTGGTGCGCTGTCTCCTTTACTGCTGCTGCTATTGCTGCTGCTACTGCTGCTGCTGCTGTTGCTGCTGCTGCTCCTCGCGCCCTCAGGGTGGTTCCTGCTGCTCCAGCTCCCGTGATCCCTGCTGCTGCTGCTGTAGCTGCTGCCGCTGCTGCTGTTGTAGCTGCTGCTGCTGTTGTAGCTGCTGCTGCTGCTGTCTCTATATCTCGCACCGCCTCTGTCTCTGTTGCCCCCATACCTCTGGCTGCTGTCCCCATACCTGTCCCTGTACCCATCTCTGCTGCTGCTGCTGCTGCTGCTGCTGCTGCTGCTGCTGTCAGGGCGAACAGAAGCAGCACGTATTTCTGACTGCAGCCGCTTGGGGGGCCCCCCGAGAGCATTTAGAGGCTCGCGTTTGCTGGGGGCAGCAGCAGCAGGAACAGAGGGGCCCGGCCTGCTGCTGTTGCTGTTGCTGCTGCTGCTGTTGCTGCTGCTGCTGTTGCTAGGGGGGGTCTGCTCGTTGCTGCTGGTGCTGCTACGGACGGCACCCTTGCTGCTGCTGCTGCTGGTGCCGGTGCTGCTGTGGCTGTCGCCGGTGCTGCCAGGGGTCCCGGTCTTCTCGATGCTGCTGCTGCTGCTGCTGCTGTTGCTGCTGCTGCTGCTGCTAGGGGTGGCGCCATTGGTGCTGCTGCTGCTGCTAGGGCCGCTCTGGCTGTCCTTTGCATTGCTGCCCACACTGCTCGTGTTCGAGCTGCTTCCATCGCTGCTGCTGCTTCTGCTGCCGCTACTGATGTTGCTGCTGCTGTTGTTGTTGCTGCTGCTGTTGCTGCTCTTGCTGCTGCTGTTGGCGTTGAGTACGTCTTCACTCCCATCGGCTGGCTGGCTACTTACTGGCTTGGACACTTCTGCTGCTGCAGCGGTTGTGGCTTCTGCTGCTGCTGTTGCTGTTGCTGCCGCCGCTGCTGCTGCTGGGGCAGCAGCAGAAACCTCCGCAGGTGCAGCACCAGCAGCGTCCCCCTCTTGTGATGTCATGGTGACCTTTCAATGCCTGCTCAAGCGATGGCGTTAACTGCTGCTGCTGCTGCTGCTGCTGCTGCTGGCAGCGGCAGGCGCTGGAAGAGAAGAGAAGCAGCAGACTTGAGCCTCATAGTTGTGCAGGAAGAAGTGGAGGCCTCCAGGCACGCAAACCCTAAACCCCAAACCCTAAACCCTAAACCCTAGGCCCCAACAAGTAGCTAAACCCTAAACCCTAAACCCTAAACACTTGCTGCGGTCTGTGTACAGGGTGGGCGCTGCTTCCTGGGCTGCAGCGCATGCAGGGGCCTCTTGTTTGCTGCCGCGGTGTCTTTGCTGCTGCTGCGGCTTGCCGGGCCGTTTCCGCTGCACTGAGTGCTGCAAAAAGCGCAGCAGCAGCATGGGAGCAGCAGCAGGCGTCGCAGGCGCAGCAGCAGCAGCAGCAGCACCCACAGCCAAATACCTCTGCAGCGCAGAATGCCTTCGCATACATAAGGCAGCAGACTGCACCCCGCGGCACCTCCTCAACTGGCTAGGTTAGCTGCTGCTGCTGCCGCTGCTGCTGCCGCCACTGCAGCAGCAGCAGCTGCTGCTGCTGCACATACTGCAGCTCCTCCCGTTTTAAAACCGGCTGCAGTGACTTGCTGCTGCGGCGCCGGCGGCCAATGTTTGTATCTTGACTGCATACAAAGTGTAGACTGCTCTTGCTGCTGCTGCCGCTTCTGCTGCTGCTGCTGCTGCTGCTGCTGCTGCTGCTGCTGCTGCTGCTGCTGCTGCTGCTGCTGCTGCTGCTGCTGCTGCTGCTGCTGCTGCTGCTGCTGCTGCTGCTGCTGCTGCTGCTGCTGCTGCTGTTGCTGCTGCTGCTGCTGCTGCTGCTGCTGCTGCTGTTGCTGTTGCTGCTGCTGCTGCTGCTGCTGCTGCTGTTGCTGCTGCTGCTGCTGCTGCTGCTGCTGCTGCTGCTGCTGCTGCTGCTTCCGCTGCTGCTGCTGCTGCTGCTGCGTTTGACTTGGAGAGAAACCAAAAGACACTGTGTGCGTGCGGGGCGTGCTGCAGCTGCTGCTGTGCACCGGCAGCAAGGTGCGGCGGCTGCAGGGCGTGCAGGGCGCGGAAGCTCGTGGGGTTTTCTATTTGCGAAGTTTGGGAGATTTGCTGCAGCTGCGAGACAGTCTCTTTTCAGATGTCAATACACCCCAAGCCCTCAAACACGTCGTTGTGGGGTCTTCTTTCATCGGCCTCGAAGTCGCAGCAGCTTTGAAAAAAGTGGGAGTCCGAGATGTCGCAGTTGTCGGCAGGGTAAGCAGCAGCAGCAGCAGCAGCAGCAGCAGCAGCAGTTGGAGCAGCAGCAGCTGCAGCAGTAGGAGTAGTAGCAGCAGCAGCAACAGCAGCAGCAGCTCTAGCTGTAGTACTAGCAGCAGCAGCAGCAGTGTAGCCGCTGCAGCAGACACAGTTGTAGTGTCAGGGATGGCAGGCGCAGCAGCAGCAGCAGCTGCAGTAGCAATATAGCAGCTGCGGCAGAAGCAGCAGCAGCAGCAGCGGCAGAAATCGTAAGAGCAGAAAATGCAGCATTTGCAGGAACAGTTGCAGCAACAGCAGCAACAGGAGCAAAAGCGTGTGCAGGAACAGGAGCAGCAGTAGTAGGAGGAGCAGCAGAAGCGGAATCACAGTAACAGCAGCAGCAGCAGCAGCAACTGCAGCAGCAAATTTATTCTCGGGAACTAGAGCAGTTTGTACATGCTCTAATGGAGGCACTTCTAGATGTGTTTGTGTTCTTAGGGTCATTTGTATTTAGATAATTTTATTTAATAAATAATGAATAATTATGTTGCTGCCTTTCCTGCTGCTGCTGGCTGCTGCTGCTGCTGCTGCTGCTGCTGCTGCGTCTGCAGGAAAAGGTCCCCTTGGAGCTGGTCTTGGGCGAACGCGTGGGCGGCGCCTTTAAGAATTTGTTGGAAGCAAATGGAGTGGAGTTCATTCCCAATATGGAAGCTTCAGAGATCATGTGTGCTGCTGCTGCTGTTGCTGCTGTTGTTGCTGCTGCTGTTGCTGCTGTTGCTGCTGCTGTTGCTGTTGCTGCTGCGGTTTGTGTCGACGCAGTTCCTGGTGCAGCGTTGGCCTCCATAGCGGCAGTTCTCGCTAAGAAGGCAGTTTTAGTTCCTGCTGCTGCTGTGCTGCTGCTGCTGCTGCTGCTGCTGCTGCTGCTGCTGACTGGGCGCGTTTGTGTTCGCTGGAGAGCCTGTTCCAGCTGCTGCTTCTCTGGGGGGCACTCATCTGCGGTTTGCTGCTGCTGTGAATGTCGTTTGCTGTTACTTGCTGCTGCTGCTGCTCCTAACCCGTTACTGCGTATGCTGCATATGCTGCATCTGCTGCTGCTGCTCCTCGCCCGCTACTGCATGTTCTGCATCTGCTGCATCTGCTGCATCTGCTGCTGCTGCTGCTGCCGCTGCTGCTGCAGCACGCGGGACGGGAAGGTAACGGGGGTGCGTCTGAAGAGCGGGCGCGTCTTGGCAGCAGATCGGGTCATTGTGGGGATTGGAGTTGTTCCTGAGCTGCCCCACATCAGCAGCAGCAAACAGCTGCAGCAGGGAAACCGCGGCGGACTCGCTGTGGACCCCTTCCTCTCGTACGCGCTGCTGCTGCTGCTGCTGCTGCCGCTACTTGTGCTGCTGCTGCTGCTGCTGCTGCTGGCTGCCTCCCCGGCACATTGCTGCTTGGAGTTTGTGGTCACCAGCTTTGCTTCTGCTGCAGCAGCAGCAAAACAGCTACTGCCGCAGCTGCTGCTCCACTTGCTGCTGCTGCTGCTGCTCGCAGCTGCCCTTCGCACCCCACAATTTTTGCTGCTGGAGATATCGCGAGCTTTCCCTACGTGAAATCTGGTGCGTCATGAATTTGCTGTTGTGTCTTTTTCATCTCTTTTATCTCTTTTTCCTTTTTTGACGTTTTTCTTTTTATTTTGTTCCTTTTTTGTCTCTTTTTGTTTTCTTTTCTCGTGGCTTTGTTCTTTTTCTCTCTAAGTTTTGGGCTGTGTCTTCTGCTTCCTTTGCTGCTGCGAAACTTGCTTCAGCAGCAAGCTGCAGCACCTGCAGCAGCACCAGCTGCTTCTGCAGCAGCACCTGCTGCTGCGGGCAGAAATGCTGCTGCTGCGCCTCTTGCTCCTGGCTCTCTTGCTGCTGCGCTACTTGCTGCTGCTTTGCCCGCTGCTGCTGCTGGTGCAGATGCTCTGACTTGCTGCAGTTGCTGTGTCTGCAGCTGGTACTCCGCCTGCTGCTGGTGCTCGACCTGTTGCTGCGGCTCTGTTGTTGCTGCTGCTCACGTGCTGCTGCTGCTCCACCTGATGCTGCTTTTACTTTACCTGCTTCTGCTTCACCCGCCGCCGCAGTACCTGCTGCTGCTGCTCAAGCGGCGGCTGCCGCTGCTCTCCCTGCTGCTGCACCTGCTGCTGCTCTGCTGCTGCTGCTGCTGCTGCAGGGGAAGACATTCGGGTGGAGCACTTTGCAACAGCAATGGACCAAGGCCGTGTTGCTGCTGCTAACATGTTGGGACTTAATCGCCCTTTTGCTGCTTTGCCTTTTTTCTGGACAATGCTCTTTGGCAAGGGGCTGCGGTGGGGTGTATAGACAGCTGCTGCCCCACACTTTGCGACTTTTCTCTTTTTGCTTTTTCAAATAAATCCATTTTACGAACTTTTCGCCTTTTCTTCTTTTGTTTCTTTTTGTTTTAATTGATCTTCTTTTGTCTTTTTAATTTATTTCTTTTATCCATTTGATTTCCTTTCATGTTTTCTTGTTCTTTCATTTTCTTTTATGCAAGTCTTTCTTTCTTGTTTTTCTTTTCATCTTTTTGTATTTTTATTTATTTAATTTATCTCATTTTATCTTCTCACTTCTTCCCATTTATCTGCTTTTGTCTTTTTGTTTTTTTAATTACTTCCTTTTCTCCTTTTCATTTTCTTTTGATTGTCTTCTTTTTTATTTTTTATTTCTTTTGCATTCTTTTGTCCTTTATTTATTTTCACTTGAATCTTTTTTGTTTTTCATTTCTTTTTTTGGTATCTTTCTTTTATATCTTTTTTTCTTTCATTACTTTTTTGTGTGTTTTAATTTTAGCTGCATTTCTTTTTTTAATTTCTTTTTTCTTCGTCTGTTTTTCCCCTTACCTCTCTCTGCTTCCTTCATTAATAATTAAATACCAATTATTAATTGTTAGTTGATTATTATTTATTATTTATTATTTATTTATTATTTTTATTTTTATTGTATATTTTTTCCCTTTGCTGCTGCAGCTACATTGGCAACGGCTACGGCTTTGAAGATGTAATTGTAGAAGGAGATCTTTCCAAATTCCAGTTTGTCGCTTATTATACGAAGGGAGACAAGGTGACCTTGCTGCTGCTGCTGCTGCTGCTGCTGCTGCTGGGCTTGCTGCAGCAGCGGGAGGCGCTGGTGTTGTTGTGCTGGGCTTGCTGCAGCAGCGGCAGGTGCTGCTGCTACAGCTGCTGTGGTTGGCATGCTGCAGCAGCAGCAGGTGGCGCTGCTACAGCTGCTGCTGCTGTCGCTGGTCTTGCTGCAGCAGCAGCACGTGCTTGAGCTCCCGCAGCAGCTATCTCACTAGCTGCTGCGCTGCTGCAGTTGTCTATCGCGGTATCCTTGCTGCTGCGGAGCTGTTGCTGCCTCCTCCATTCGCTTCCAGCTGCAGAAAGCAGCTGCTGACTGTGCTAAGCCGCTGCTGCTGCTGCTGCTGCTGCTGCTGCTGCTGCTGCGTGTGCAGGTAATAGCAGCAGCAACTATGGGCAAAGACCCTGCCTGCGTGGCCATCGGAGAAGCTTTGAAAGCCAACATAATGCCAACAGCAGCAGAACTTCGTATGGGTCTGCAAAACTCCCAAGACATCATCAACAGAGTCAAGGTAAAGCAACTGCTGCTGCTGCGCTTGCTGCTGCTGCTGCTGCGCTTGCTGCTGCTGCTACTGCGCTTGCTGCTGCTGCTGCTGCTGCTGCTGCTGCTGCTGAGGCTGCTCAAGCTCTTGATGCTCCTGTAGCTCTTCGTGCTGTTCTGGCTCTTGATGCTTCTCCTGCTGCTCTTTTTGCTGCTGCTGGTAGTTCTGCTGCTGATGCTATTATTGCGCTGGTGCTGCCTCTGCTGCTGTTTCTGCGCTGTGGCTGTTCATGCTCTTCTGCTGCTGCTGCTGCCTTGTCGGCTGCGGGGTTATGTGCTGATGCCACTGCATTTGTCCTAACTGCTGCTGCTGCTGCTCTGTTATCTCCACTGCTGCTGCTGCTGCTGCTTTGTTGCTGCGGGGGAAGCGACACAGTCCCAGTCTCTGTGGCCGCATTTTGCTGCTGCAGCAAAACGCCATCAAGCGGGTTGCGTAAAGGCTGCAGCAGCAGCATCCACTGCGAGATGGTGGGAGCCAAGCAGCAGCAGCAGCGGCAGCAGCAGCGCCTGTTGCTGCTGCTGCAGCATTGGCAGCAGCAACCCCATCAATGGCATCATTTACTGTAAGAACTCGCTGGCAGCATCTGTTTTATAGCTTTTGCTCCTTTTGCTGCTGCAGTAAGAAAGAGGTGCATTCACCTCTCTTTGTGCAGCAGCTTGCTGCTAGCAAGATGCCTCCGCAGCTAGCTAGCTAGCTAGCTAGCTGGCTAGCTATCCAGCTAGCTAGCTAGCTAGCTGCCGAGTCCTTGCAGGCCTTTTGCTGCCCCCAAGGCCTGAAGCCTGAAACCTCTTATGTATGCAGTATATGCCCAGAGACCAAACAAGAAAAGCTGCTGCTGCAACAGCAGCAGCAAGTGCTGCAGCAGTTGCTGCAGCAGTTGCTGCAGCAACAGCAGCAGCAAATTTCGTTGCACTTTGCATTGCTGCCGTTTATAGCACGGCGCACTGCCAACCGTATCGCACATGTATCTACGCAACTTACCGGAAAGGGAAACAGCAGCAGCAGCAGCTGCTGCTGCTTCTGCTGCTGCTGCTGCAGCTGCGTAGCTTTAGTTGCCACTTAGACACACTCATGAGGAGAGCTCTTAGCTTTCAATATTGCGTTGCGCTGAAGCAAAATGGTGTTGCTGCTGCTGCTGCAGCAAAGCAGTTCCCTAGTACTGCAGCGGCAACCTAGCAGCAGCTGCTGCTGTTGCAGCCCAGCTTCTGCTGCTGCTGCTCAGCACCAGGCGCTTTAGCAGCACCCGGAAGGTTCCTGCAGTAGCGGCTGCGGGGGTGCTGCAGCAGCTGCTGCAGCTGTAACCCAGCTGCTACTGCAGCAGGTCAGCAGCAGCAGCAGCAGCGCTGCTGCTGCTGAAAGTTATGCTGCTGCTTCTCCAAGGGAAACCGGCGGCGTTTGCTGCTGCTGCTCTCTCACCTCTTGCGCCAAAGTTTTGTCTCCCAAAATGTCTTCAAGGTCTTCCCTGCGAAGCAACAAGCAAAGGGAGTCTCCCTTTTAGGGTTTAGGGTTTAGAGCTTCGGGTGTAGGGTTTTGGGGCTAGGGTTTAGGGTTTGGCTTTGTGGCCACCTGCGGCCACGAAGCCAAACCCTAAACCCCAAGCTCCCGCTGCTTCGTGCGAAGCAGCCAGCAATACAGTCTGCCGCCCTAGCGTCTAGGGTTTAGGGTTTAGGGTTTAGGGTTTATACTTGTAGTCCCTCAAAAGACAACACAAAGAACGCATGCAAGCTTCCTGCAGCGGAGAGCGCCGCGCGCGAAACAAGGTGTCTAGACACCGCAGCACCGGCACCACCTGCAGCCGCGCAGCCAAAC